TTATCCAATTAAAGGCCAGTGACACACCGATGTATTGGCAACATCATCATACACTAATCAACATTGAACTTCTAAATCGAGTGAGAAACTAAATTCTTACTATGCAACATGTAGTAATATGATATGATAAACTAACAGCTAACAGCTGTCACATGTAAAGAACATGGTAAAAACCCTCATAGGAGTGAAATGCTTCTCGGTAAGGTAAGATTATATAATGATAATGGAAATTGCTCCAAAAAAGGGGGGAAAACAGGACAAATAGTTAGCATGTGATTTTTACCTCTTACTAAGTAAGATAATCTACATCTTACCGTATTTGTTGCTAGATGAACCCAAGACTCCAGGCCCAGTGGAGCTGGAGCAAACTGTCCAGGGCAAAGTGGTGATTTCATGGGCTCCATCTCCAGACGAGGAGCTCGACGACCGGTTGTACTACATGGTGTCTCAACACGACTCCAACACCAGAGTGTGGAAGACAGTAGCAGATCGCCTCTTCACTAAGACATACACGGCCATCAACATCCTTCCAGGGATAGAGTACCATTTCCGTGTCTACGCCAAGAATGATATGGGCCTCTCAGATCCATCTCAGTCACCTACATGGGGTGTCAACAACAACAGAGGTTCTTTATGCCATTACAGTAAACCAAGCCATACAAAACAGTGGTTTGACAATTTTATGTGTGATCAGTTATATTTTTACTAATTTAAATGTTGTGTACTCTGCAACAAAAAATGAATATAGAATCACCACCGATTAGAGCTAATCTGTTTCCAGGCTGTAGGTCTGTGGAGTAAACCATGATTCCATTATATAACAACATTGCAATGAATATGAATGAATATTTCGGCTTTTGTGGACAAAATGTACAATGTAATATTATGTACGAATTCTATGTGTAATCTGTATACTGTCACATACTAGTAGACAACAGAGCAGTGGTTAGGAAAAAAAAAAGTTCTTTGCTTTAATAATAATATTAGAGCTAAGAGCTAATAATATTGTAATTGTTAGTGTGCTAAGATGGTGAGTAT